ACAACTCAAAATAAAGTTAGCCTTATATATATATTTTTTTTATACTCTTTTATATTATAGAATACATCTATTTTAGCTTCTGATAATGTCCCAACTATTTCTAGGGAGTTAAACATAATATTGACTCCTTTTCAGGTTCATTGCATTTATATTCTTTATATTATTCTTTGTTTTTATTTTAGATAACAAGCCCTGTCTTACCCATATTTAATTATTGTACAAGTGGTATATTGACTCCTCATCAAGTTCAATGCATTTATTTTTTTCATTTATTCTTTTGTTTCTATTTTAGATAACAAGCCATGTCCTAACCTCAGTTAATGATTGTACAGGTGGTGATTCTGTCATTAATAAAAGAAAAAGATGGCAGATCAATCAAAAAAAGAAACGCACTAGGGATAGCGAGGACCTACAAAATAGAACATTCTCTTATTTATCAAGTATAATTTTTCTCAAAATTATATTGGGATTTTTTAATGGTAAATGTTAGTCTTTAAAGTAATATATTTTACCTGTAGAATAATTGGTAAATTAGAGATTTCCTCTTCATTAATTATAAATTTTTGGCTTGGTTTCAAAATTATTAGGGAAGGTGGGTTAGAGAAATTTTTTTTAAATTAAGATCTTGGATGCTTTTTTCTAATCTATATTGGGATTTTTTAACGTTAAATGTTAGTTTTGGATGCTTGAATATTTTTTCCAGATATTGTAGGGTAGAACCTATATTAGGATTTTTTAATGTTAAATGTTAGTCTTATGTTATAAATTTAATATCTCTGGGCTTGATTTCAAAATTATTAGGGAAGGTGGCCTTGAGAAAATCTTTTTAAATATTAAGATCTTGGATGCTTGGGTATTTTATCCAGATATTGTAGGCTTGAACCTATATTGGGATTTTTTAATGTTAAAGGTTAGTCTTGGATGCTTGGATATTTTTTCCAGATATTGTAGGCTTGAACCTATATTGGGATTTTTTTAATGTTAAATGTTAGTCTTATTTAATATCTCTGGGCTTGGTTTCAAAATTATTAGGGAAGGTGGGTTAGAGAAATTCTTTTTAAATATTAAGATCTTGGATGCTTTTTTCGTGAACCTATATTGGGGTTTTTTAATGTTAAATGTTAGTCTTGGATGCTTGGATATTTTTTCCATGTTAAATGTTAGTCTTATGTTATTCTTTTTATAAAGTAATATATTTTACCTGTTGACTAATTGGTAAATCAGATATTTCCTCTTCATTAATTATAAATTTAATATCTCTGGGCTTGATTTCAAAATTATTAGGGAAGGTGGGCTGAGAAAATCTTTTTAAATATTAAGATCTTGGATGCTTGGATATTTTATCCAGTTTAACCTATATTGGGATTTTTATTATTAAATGTTCGTCTTGGATACTTGGATATTTTTTCCAGATATTGTAGGGTAGAACCTATATTAGGATTGTTTAATGTTAAATGTTAGTCTTATGTTATAAATTTAATATCTCTGGGCTTGATTTTAAAATTATTAGGGAAGGTGGACTTGAGAAAATCTTTTTAAATATTAAGATCTTGGATGCTTGGATCATTACATTTATCATGTTATTTTTTAACTTTTAGAATATCATAATAGACTTGATTAGTCCCCTAAAAATTTTATTTGATGATAGCCCTCCAACTTATTAGAAATATGCATCTAATATTGACCCTTCTACCGGTTTTACATTATTTTAATGTTTGTTTAATTTCAACAATAGTATATTTATATTTTTGCCTGATTTCTTTATTTGTCTAGGCTAACCCTAATCCCTCACATTGCTACCAAACATGATGAATCTTTTATTAAAGATAAGCAAAGAAAAAAATGGCGATTCAACAATCGCCTTACCCGTTCTAGAGTTACTGGTGGCCAAGATAATAAGGCACTGTGAACTTCTCTGGAGGTTTATTTTGTTTTTTATCTAATGTTTTATATCTATATGTTTATTTTATACACCCAGTTGCCTCCAAATGATATTTCTATCACCACTACTACAATCCCTATGCCACCTCTGCCTAATTTTTAATAAATAAAAGCATTTAATTCCACTCTCATTTACCTCATTAGGAGTTATTATAAATAATACTTTATCCGATTCCCTGAGGAACTTTCATGAATATTTAGAGAGATGTTCAAACCTGAATGTGTAGTGCGGCCAATTTCATTAACATTATTAATGGGAAAATATGCGGTAGTTTTGTCATGGCCTTTATAACAATACTTACGACCGTTTTATGGTTGAGTTGACAATGTCGTTCATGATTCTATTTTAGAGGGGGATACCAAAACTGACACTTTGGCAGAAATATCATTTTGCGTTCTTCTTTTACCAGTAGCCCAGGGCCTCAGCTTTATCAGGACGCAATGGGTGTTGTACACTGCTTTGGTAATCCGTCATTATTCATTACTTTCACCTACAACCCTAAATGGGATGATATTATACATTAATTTTTCCTTCTGCAGACGACTGAAAGGATTTGCACTTAATTTTACCAGACACACAGAGTAATAATTATTCCTCATCATTTTTTAAAAAAATTACCTAAATTTATATGGCAAGAAAAACAAATTTCTTAAAAAATATATAAATAAATTGCATATAAGTTTCATTAGTATTGAATCGCATTTTTGTAATTTAAATAAATAGCATTTTTTTGTACTTAACAAAAGATATATATAGCCCTTATCAAATTTTTTGATAAAAGGAGTTAACCCACTAATTGGTAAATCCGAGATTTCCCCTTCATGTGTAATAAATTATTTAGAAATTTAACTATCTCCGGGTTTGGGAAATAGTTTTGAAACTTAATATGGGATGGACTGGGCTTGAAAAATATTCCTCAAGATTAATATTTGCTTGCACCTGACTTGGGAATATCTTATACAAATTATTATGGGCCGAGCTAGGAAAAAATTTTCAAAATAATTATGGGTTGAGCTAGGCTTGAGATTTTTTTTTATAAATTATAAGGTCTTGAACGCGTGGAAATTTTTCCCAAATATTATGAGCTTGGACCTGGCTTGAAATTTTTAATGTTAAATGTTAGTCTTATGTAACCAGTAATATATTTACAAAGAATTTTGGTATTGGGTACAAGCTCATTTAAATATATTTTGACTCAAATAATAGTTTCCACTCTTAGTCCTAATGGGTTGGACTCAATGACATTGCTTGGACTTGACATGAATGGGGAGGGGGGGGGTTTAAAAATTATATAAATTGGATATGATTTTTAAATAAAAGGTAACATCTTTCTTAAAAAAACGAATAAAATTCTCATTCTCCGTCATTTTTGACGGGCTTTCTACTAGTATAGTTTATTATCCTCTATTATATACAGTTGATTATAAAATATTAGATAAAATGCCCCTTTTATAGACGTATTTGAGAGTTATATAATATATTACAGATATTATTATAATAATTTTACTAATTAATGCTTTTGATAATAAATATTATAACAATTTGAATTCAAGTATTTAACGCCATCTATTGATTAAAATTATTTTAAAACGAAACATTTTATTATTCATCCTACAATGGATGTAATAAATTAGATAACTTTTCTTCTCTTTTTTACGTGTTTTTAGGAAAGCTATTATTTTCTTTTTCCAAAAGTTATTTTAATACAAGTATATTTTCGATATTATTAAAGTGTTTTTGTTTTACAATTTATCTAACATAATAAATTCTGATATAAATATTCGTGGGTGTCATCGCTATGACTGTAAATTAATTAGCATTTATTTATTGTGTGGCTATGTAATTTAAGATTATTACTATAGCTGCTAGTATATTTTAGATAAGCAATAATGGTCAACTGTGTAGTCGTTTATATATCATTAAATGGAAAATAATCTTTTAGAAATTTGATATCTCACATTAATTTTCTCGATTACTTATCTAGCTTCCATCATGTCATCTAAGAGGAAGCTCTCATCACCATATTTTTTTTATGGTTTTGATTAGTCATTTATACTTTCTTCTTCAAGAATTGTTGATTTAGTTTAGGCCTATAAATTTTTCCTTATTAGTCCATTCTATAAATCATTGTCTAAAATGGTAACAGAAGTTATATTAGTTTCATAAGCTTTTGTCAATGTAAGTTGCTAAGAATTATATTATTGCTTTATGTAATTTTTAAAAACTATTATCAATCGACGCATATATATGAATAAATTAACCTCTTTTATCACTTGTAATTCTTTAGACTCAAATTTTTTTATATCAGCAATCGAAAATATTTTATACTGTAATAAATAGATTTTTTATTAAAAAATATTATTTTTAGATATGTCTTGTATTATTTTAATGATTTATATGCTAGTTTATTTTGCATACAAAATATAATAAATGACATTCAGAATAATTATTTAGAGTTAGTAAATTTTTAAAAAGTATAATATATTAATATAAAACAAATTGGGGGGTATGGAGGCGAAGCCCCCCCCCCCCCCCCATAAGATTTTTTAGTTGAGCCCCCTGAGATAGTAAAGGCTAGCTACGCCCCTGTTTGTGCACTTAGGCAGTAAATGGTTAAATATAGGTGCTTAAGGATATTTTTTTAATTCTGAATTAAACAACTCTAGTTCACAATATAAAATTAAGTTTTTTATAGAATATGTCATTGTTTCATTACACGAGTTAACGAATAACTAATCCTATTCAAAACTAGAGTCTACGACTCGAGTTGGAACTAAGCTAGCTGTCATAGCCACCATCGGCTCTGAGTCGGAGTCGAATGAACTCAACTATATATTAAAACTACCCTGCTCACTATTTTAGGTTATATAGATTCAAAAATGCCCAGATAATAAAATACGCTATTCGTTAATCTTTATTAATTAATACTTTATTATTTTGTAGGGTGATGGAGGTAATTGGAGCTTTTAAATTTCTAAATATTTTTAATTATAAAACGTCCAATGACATTTTATTATGTCATTGATAACGTCACATATTTGACATTTCTGTATGCCAACCAATATTCACTATTTTATCAAAAATTTTATTTATTCTTAAATGGAAATTTTTCCTTACGAGCAATATAGTATTTTATTATGATTGAATTATATAATAATTTATTTGTCTACATTAAGGGGATATATTAGAGAAAATTCCTTTTTCTTTAATGTTACATAATATATATTCAGAAAAATATGTTAAAAATTTTATTAATGAAGAATTATTATATCTTTTAAGCCTTGATCCAAAAAATTGGAAGGTATGAAACGAATTGTATTTTTTATATATTTAATTATAGAATCAAGATCATTATAAAATTTTAGGTTTAGAAGATATGCGTTATAATTCAACAGAAGAAGATATCAAAAAAGCTTGTAATTTATTTTAAAATTATTATATATTTGTTTAAGATAAAAAAAAAGCCTTAAATCACCATCCAGATAAAAGGTATAAACATAACATTAAACATGATTCAAATGATTATTTTCCATGTATCATAAAAGGTATTTTTTTTAAAAATGTTTATTCTTATATTTTATTTTATAGCTTTTGAAATTTTAAGTGATCCAATTAAAAGAAGATCATATGATAGTGTTGACCCATTATTTAATAATGATATACCTGAAACATTTATGCCTATACATAATGATATTTCTTGTCAATATGATCACTTTTTAAATGTATTTGATCCTGTTTTTAATAGAAATTCCAGGTTTTACATTCTTTTATATTTTATAATTTTAGTAAATATAAATTTTAAAATTTATATCATTTAAAATTTTTATAATAAAGGTCTATCAATAACAACATTTTTGTACCTTACCTATTTAGGATTTCATTTTTGCCTGGCATGGCCCAAATTTATATCTGGCCTTCCCAATTCAAATTATTTACTAAGGTTACTTGGCCTGGCTAAACTCCAGAAATATCCTATAAACAAATAACCAATAATGATGAGGATTTAAGTTTTTAGATTACTTATTAACAAAAAACACAAAATGTAGGTGTTTAACACCAAAAGTCAAAACTAAAATAATTAATATTATCAAATAAAGGAATAAATACATGGATTAATGATATAAAACTAAGAATAATTTATGCATAAATAAACTCCATCAATAAGATGACTAAGTACAGTGGTGTAGCTAGAAATTTTCCTTAGAGGGGGTCCATACATATAAATGCCTGGTGGGCTTTGCCCCCAGACCCCCTTTAACGGGCCTTCAGCCCTTTTGCCCAGCCTTCGGCCGGGTTTATCTTAAAAATCATAACCATATCTTCGATAATATATAATAAATATATTTTTTAACTGCATCAATAATATGTTATTATAATTTAGTAGATTATTCTCATGACTTTATAATAATACTACCCAGAATAATTTCAATAGTAATATATTATCCTTTCACAAACATCAAAACCAAAAAATATAAATATTAATGGTATTTATTTGATATAAAGTCACTTTTAAGTCTTTTGAACGTATAATCTAAAAAAATAATTTTGCTCTGGGAGGGGTCCAAACCTGAAAACCACCCCCGTAGCTACGCCACTGACTAAGTATATATACATTGAATAATACAGATGCATAACTACCCTAAATAATTCTTTCTAACCAGTGCTACATATATTAAATATTAACTACTTTATAAATCTGGCCAATTTTTTATATATAATTTAGGGATATAATTGACCTAAAACTTTTTAAATATTTTTATAATTTCCAATTAATATGATAATGAAATATAGATGGTCAACAATACAACCTGTACCAACTTTAAAATATATCAATGCCTCAAGTGAAGAAGTCAACAATTTTTATTCCTTTTGGTATTTGTGCTAATACATTTTTTAATATTTATATGCATAAAACTTTAAAATGTATAGGTACGATTTTCAATCATGGAGAGAATTTTCATATTTAGATAAGGAAGATAAAACGAAAGGAGAAAAGTAAAATATATTGTTTTAATATTTAAAATAATGATTATTAAAGTCGTGATGAAAGGAAATGGATTGAAAAACAAAACAAAATTGATAGACAAAAATTAAAAAAAGATGAAATTAATCGGATTAGAAAATTAGTTGGTACATTTTTTTTTAAGCAGAATATGTTTCTAGTTAGTATTATAAGAGAATAAACTTCTAGGGAAATTTATTATTTATTCTATTTATGGTCATTGTGGCATAGTATTGCAATTTATTGATTATTTATATCAGGGACATAACTAGAATAATTTTCTTAGGGAGACACAGGTTCAGAAATTGTATATTTTTATTGGATTTGACCTAGAATTGTATTTTGATAATTTTTATGATGAATAAGCAGATTAGAATAATAAATATATGTGTTATATAATAGTAAATGAATAATATAAATGAATAAATTAGGTAATATTATTCATAATTTTTTAAATTATTAATTATAATTTATGGGCATGTGTTTAAATATTCCTTAATTTTTACATGATAGCATCATTAAATTTTCATACTAAAAATCATTATTCTTAAAATAACGAAAGAAATAATTAATATAACTTAATTTTACATTATATTGTCATTAAGTTTTCTTATTAAAAATAAGGACTATTATTCTTAAAATAACGATAAATCATTTAATATTACTTATTTTTTTTATACAAACTACATTGGGAAATATTATTGAAATATTTATTGGTGCATGTTAGTTCAAAAAAGGAACATATTACCATTACTCATCACCTTGTAAAAAAAGGAAAACATTACTTACTATCAAAAAATTACATATTACTTGTTATTTAACATATACAAAATATATAAATTTTCTTTTTATTTATCTTTTTTTTGCCATAGATAATAAAAATAAATTATTCAAAAATAATATATTTAAAGTTCTTTTTGTATTAATTTATATTTATTTTAACAATTGATTTTGAAATTTTTGATCAGATCAACAGAGCACTTATTAAGTTTAACATAGCTCAATTGAGAATCAAAAATAATATATTTAAGAAAGTTCTTTTTGTATTCATTTATATTTATTTTTAACAATTGATTTTAAAAATTATGATCAGATCAACAGAGCACTTATTAAGTTCAACATAGCTTTTGCTGTGCTAAACATACTTTCAATTGAATTGAATTAGGCTTCATGTCATATCCTCATAAAATTTATTTTTATCATAATTTTATCTAAATTCATATCTTTGCTTTCATATATGTTTTTAGGTTTGAGCTGCTGGAAATTGATGTATTTGAAATCACAATCTACACTTTCAAAATGTAGATTTAATATCCTTAATTTTCTTTTAAAAAATGTTTTATACTGGTTCACTTCAAAATTGTTAAAACTGGGAAAAACGATTTTAAAGTTTACATTTAAATATAAAATATAAGTTAAACAAGTTATAGTCTAAAAAATTATTGCATGATAATTTTATTTAATAAAATCAAAATACACATTTTATGAATTATATTTTTGTTCAAAATATTTCTTATCAATTTTATTTATGAGAATTTAAATAAAAGCAAAATAAATGGAGTTAACTATTATAAATCATCATATTATATAATATAGACAATCTATTTAATTCTAATTTATTATTAGAAGTAATAATTTAACTGAATAAAAAATTATAATTTTTAACTGATAATTTTTTTCATTCATATTTTATAGTCCTCGCATGGGATTATACATGTGTAGTTCCTTTTACCAGATTTTTTTCTGTCAATTCCATCATAAAGGCAAAAAACACAAAGATAAATATATATCGCCACCTAAACAATCCTTTGTTCATTCCAATAGTTTCAGACACTGTGGTTCATTTGAACCTCAAGCCTAATTATTCAAAACAATAGGCAAAGGTTACCTTTTTATCACAGGTGATCCAAAGGAAGGTTTTACCTATGAGAAAGGCCAACCTAACCTGAATATATATTTTTTTAAAGTTTTCTTTCCTTTTTAAATATTATTATTGTTCTTTTAAAAATATATTTTTATTATATAGATATGTTATGTTTATATTTCTAATCAAAAATTTATCTTAATGTAATCTTTTTTTAATATTGAATTTGAATATAAAAATTTACATATTAAAAATTTTTCTTTTAAATGTGCACAACAGTTTATTATAAAATATTATAATATCATATATAGTGCTTATATAGCAAAAATTACAAAAATGACTCAAAATTGCAGGTGTTTTAGTCCAGAAGTCAATATTTTTAAATCTAGTATTTATATATTTATTGGAAATTAATCAATTAAAATCCACCCCCTAACTCAAAAATCTTAGAAATATCAAGTGGAGCACCCCAATTCTAGACCCACGATACCTTGATTGATTTATTATTAATTAGATTAACTGACTATAAAATTCAACAACAAAAATGTAGTTAAAATAAAAATGAAAAACCTTGATGTTATCTGAAGAAAAAAACTCAGCACGAGTAACGAATGGCGTTCCTTTTCCTCAAAAAAGGTAACGACATTATTTTACAGCACTTGTATTTATAGTTATGAGTGTATGTACAAAGTGTAAAAGTAGTTTATTTTGGATGAAATATTTCTATATATCAGTTTATATAATATTGTCTTCTATAAAAATAAATTCATCAACAAAAACAATAATGACTTTAGCTGCAATATGTTATAATAAAAAAATAATATCCAAAAATAACTACAAGACGACATGTTCATTTTCCTGTATTCAATTTATAAAATATTGATAGCTATAAAACCAATCAATGGACTAAAAAATATGACATTTATCCCTTTAATCAATAAAATACAATGTATAAACAAATACAACACGCCTACCCATAACAGGCCAAAATATTCCATAAAATGGTACAATTTGCCTATTACATAATAATTTATTTTTTAATTTAAATTTGTATCTTCTTTTTGCACCAGGGTTTGTTGGCCACTATAATCTCATAAATATTTGGGCATTTGTTGCTTCGCAGCATCTTAGTTTGGACATCATGGACCACAACCATGAGCAGTGTCTGGAACATCTTAGATCAAATACATTGGTGGTGGCTGCTTAATAATAGTTGTCCAAATATATGAGCGCTTGATTTGATTGTAAATTATGGTCCACATAATAAGAGGTGGCTTGATTGAACATTATCCAAATATTTAAGCAATGTCTGTCCAAATGTTCATTGAGTAGTTTTCCACCATTATAACTGAACACCAATATAACATATGAAGACCATACGTCTTATATTTATTATACCTATGTTTTAAAGATTAATTTATACAATGCTCATTAAGCTTTCCTTAGTAATTCAGACATTATGTTTAATTTATAAAAAACATTTTATTTATTTTATACAGTGTTTAGTTTGATCATGGTGACGAATACCTTTCATCCCATCTTCAAACTGGATATAACTTATTACCTAATTTTTCAATTATGTTACCCTTTTCTCATGATTTATTATATTATTATTATTAAATTTTACCCATTCTATTTGGCCGATTGTATATTTTAGCCCTTTGTCTACCTTGGGAAGAGCATTAATACCGCCCTTTAGTTTTACTAGATTAAAAAAAAAACTCGGGTTCTTCAACCCAATTTTTTTTAGTCAGAGTAACACTCTCGCTGTTTTTAGAATTATTGTAATATAAATTAGTGATCCAAACCTCGCCATTTTCATATTCTGCCTTTTCAGCAATGGCAACCATTCTCTCAGCCTGCCCATTAGAGCTAAGTTGATATGGTGGCATCAAAATATGTTTTGCTTTTTTCTTTACAGAACTATTTAAAGCTTTTGCGAATGAAAGTTGGACCTCTATAAGAGACTATGGTTTCGGACCGAATTTGACCCATAAATTTTGTAATATTTTTCATAAAAAATGCTTGTTAAGCCACGGACACCTTCATATTAAATTCATTTTGAATATTAATCTACGACTAGGAAAGTTTAAATAAGAAAATCGACGTGAATTCGTTCCCATCTATTTGGCCAAATACTGTTCACATCTTTATGAAGCATGGTGGTATAGGTATTACAGGAAATACATTTTTTTGTAATTGTTGTTATTCATGCCAGGACAACATATATATTCGCTGGTCTATTGTTTCATTTCTATACCTTGATGACCTGCATGTAATAATTAATATTTTATTTAGTTTTCCATGGAATAACGACTCGGTTACCTTACGTTATACAATAGTCCACTATAGACAATTCTGTATTTTTTATATAATTATTTTGACTCTTTTCTAGTGTTGAACATAATTTTAATCAATTTGATTTTTATCTTTCAAACTATGTGTTTTAAGTTCATTCGAGGTAGTGGGACCACCTTTTACCATATGTGATAAGGAATGAATTAACACAGCCTCCCCATTTGCAAATATTTGTTATTTCACTGCCCAGTCCTAACCTGTATAAAATACCACAAGCAATTTTCCTTACGTTGCTGATATTTAAATAAAATTGAAACGCCCTACGAGCAATAACCACCACTAAGGTGCCGGTTATAACATTAATTCCTTATTATCACGTTTAAATAAGTGAATTAATGGTTTACAATCTGTATAGATCACAAATTTTTGATTAAATACCTTCGGTATTTGGTTAACTCATATATGACCTCCAGGGCCTCCTATTCAAAAACGATAGCGTGTTCCCACATCGCAGAAAACCCATGAGAAAAACATAATTGGTCTTTCTATATTATATATTAGATGTAATGAAGCACCGCCTACACCTTTATTAGAGGCATCAACGGCCCAAATTATTGGTAAACCATCCTCACCAATTTTTATTATAATAACTCAAAAGTAGTTTGCTTGGCTTCCCTCCATTCAAAATTGAGATTCTTTTAAATTGATATAATGGATCAACTATTTTAGCAAACTCTTCACAAATCTATTGTAATAATGTTGATGCTTGTTAGCTGTATCTTTAAAATTTTTTACCTAGGGGTTTTACCTCGACCGCTTTAATTTTTTGACCCAAGTAGACAACTTCTCTCGACTGGCTCTTAAGCCTTAGAGAGAATTCGTTTAAAAATCTCACCTAAGCGATGGTTATGTTGTTCAGGAGTGATGCCTATAATCAATACACCATGCATGTAATAGATCTCCTTCTAAACTGGGAAACGGAAGCCATTGTGCCTTGAAAAATGGGCACAAAGGCCAAAGGATATCCGGAAAAAGGTTAATAAACCTTTAGAAGTAGTTATCGTAAATAGCTTACTTATGCCCTCTCTTCGAGGTAATTCTATATAAACTGTGGAGAAGTCAACTTTAGAGAAATATTTGCTAAAATTTCTTAAATTCTTGGAAGTGGATATTTAACCTCCACAACCCAAGGATTGTGAGTAACTTCAAATTCTGCGCACAGCTTTAACTTTTCATTCGATCTGATCTGGATCAAGGGTGTAGCCCAATCACTATAATCGATGGCGACATAAACTCAACTATTTTTTCAATATAATGATTTAATCACAATGATAAATTTTCTACAATATATACCAAAACATTAAAAAACTCTTTAAAATTTGCATTAAAAAAAACTTTTAACCCATATCTCAACTTTTAATACTGTATATCCTTATAAATTGGAGGGAATTCCTATATAATACCAATCTTAAAATAAAGTTGAAAAGGTTAGCTAATTGCCTGATATATAATTTATATTTTAAACTTTTTACATAATTAAGATATAGCATACAAAAATGATCCTAGAATCGAACGTATAAAATTAGAAGCGAAAGAGCGAAAAAATGCTTATAAATTGGCTAAGCAAATGGCAATGAAAACCAGATTTTCAGAAGAGGTAACAATCTATAAAATTTATACTTTACTTTTTATAGTTTAATAATTTTGAAATTAAGGACGAATCAGATATCGCTCACAATTCAAAAGAGGCACCAATAGTTATAACTTTATATAATATTTAATGTTTTAGGAAGAAGAAAAAAAACAAAAAATAGACATTCAAAATGATAGAAAAAGAGCCTTAAAATGTCAAAAAAAATTATTAACGAATTATATATTAGCTAAAAGTAATTCCCAAATGGATACAAATACCATTAATTTATATCAAAATTTGGGTTTTCATGATAACGTTGAATTTTTAATACAAATTGATAATCTTACCAATTGGCTCTCTTTAGATGATTTAATCGATATTAATAGAAAATTTAAATTATTCAAAGATAACGATACCTATTTTGAACCATTGGTTCAAATTTTAAAAGAAAAAGTTAGTTTTATTTTTACAATGTTTTATCTTTTATGAACTTAGTTAAAAGATATGACACATGAATTTATAAAAGAAAAAACTCAGCATTTGGCTGTTAATAATGCTCATACTAGCCATATTAATTGTGCTCATCATATATGGACTGAACATGAAATTAAAGACTTAATTAAGGCAACTGAACTATACCCTTCAGGAACCATTTCAAGGTTTTTTTATAGATATCCCTGTTGTTTTATCATTAAGTAATATGTTTAGATGGGAAGTTATAGCTCATTATTTATCCAAACGTTATATTGATAGACCCAAAACCTCAAAGGATATCATTGATAAATTCAAAGAACTTAAAAGTTTAGAAAAGTCAAATAATGTAAATAAATATATATTTTTATCAATGTCATGACTAGGGGTGTACCGATACCACTTTTTGGAGGCCAATCCGATCCGATATTCCAGATATTAAATTGATATCGGCCGATTACCGATCATATTTAATTTTGTATTCTGTAAAGATACCAATGGTTTTAATTTTTAATACACTTTATATTAGTATAAAATCAATAATTTAACTATACAATAACTTATGTCATTTAAATATATTATAATGATCAGTTATAGTTTATATTCAATTAAATTGCAATTCTAAAAGTATATAAAATATTTTTATTGTTAAATTTCTTTTATATAATAAGTAATAACATTAATATATATTATGAAATTTAAAATAATATTTAACATTAATATATCGAAGATTTCTTTTTAGAAATAACAAAATTTCCAATTTATTAGAAATCAGCCTGCGGGGATGTGTCAATATCACCAGCTTCACTAAAAACAGATTTGAAAAGATTATCGCACATTTTTATAAACAGAATGTGCAAAAAAATAGCAATATGGCAGAATATTAATTGATTAATTATTATTATTAAAAAAATATACATAAAAATAGATTTCGATTTTATTTATAAAAATAAATGATTTTAGATATAATTTTTTCAAAAAAAATTATTTTTGATAAAGACGCCATTTTATATTGGATCGGATCGGAAAATTTTATAATATTGGCCGATAACCGATATTTTAAAATCGGTAAAATATCGGCTCGATCCGATAAATAATATCGGTACATCCCTAGTCATGACTAAGCTAATATTTTTTTTAATCATTATTTATAATTTAAATTTATTTTTTAAATATTTATATTAGAGATTTGCAAGGCCCAGCTTGTTTAGGCTTTTTAAAGATTTTTTCCAAGCCCGGCCGTTAATATTTTACGAAATATCCACCCTCTGTCCGACGAATCATGACCATCAATTTTTGATATCTTTATCTAATTTTTTCCTAATCTCAATTAAGGCTCTTATATCTTTCCTATGTGGTTACCTATTCTAAGACAACTTTTTTGCAAATCAATCGTATTTGATATCTGTATTTGTAATCGGATCATATCATAAATAACTTGTTTAATATTTTGTGAATCTACATTTATAGATTTATTATTTTTGTTAGACAGCTCTTGAAATACAAAGAAATAAGCATATTGTAATTTATTTAGATAGTATCAATAAAAAATTTTTTTTTTCTCTTTAGCTTTCACCTTTTCTGGTGGTAAGCTCCTTCATCTTCTGTCTCCACTTTATGTTATTCATACAATCTCTTTTATCTAATTTATACTTCTTTATATTGGCTCTAACTTTATGGCCCCATTGAAGTTTTGGCCTTCCTCTTTTACGTTTGCACATCACTTCCAAACTCTCAACCTTATTTCCTATGTAGTTCATAGGCCTTCTCATTGTGTGCCCATACCACCTAAGTCTCACTTTATCCTTTCTTGTTACCACAGCAATCATCCTCAGTAGTTTGTAGACTTCTCTCGTCTCACCTTGGTTGGCCATGTTTCCGAACTATATAGAATAGTTGGTTGTACTATGGAACTGTAAATTTTTTCCTTTAATTTGTGTGGGATTCTATTGTCAAATAGCACTCCAGATTAATATCTCCACTTTAACCACCCTTGATTAATTTTACTCTTTATCTTTTTTTCTATTGTGCCTTTTGTTTGTACAGTGGAGCCCAAATATTTGCATTGAATTGCCGATATCTGCCATTCATTTATATCAATACTCTCTGTTTCATCTCCACCTATCACCATATACTCCGTCTTTTCTCTATTTACTTTTAGTCCGTGCTTTTCTAGGATATTTATCCAACTCACCAATCTTTCTTTCATTTCATCCTTGGATGGCAAGTATCACAATATCATCTGCAAATATCATATTCCCCGGGACTGTATGAGGTATAGACTGTGCTAATACATCTATTACTGTAATGAAGAGAAGTGGGCTGAGAGCCGACTCTTGATGAACTCATTCGGCTATTGTGAAGCCTGCTGAAGTACCTGTTGTGCTATGGACCATTGTTATATGACCCATATACATATCCTGTATTATTCTTATAAATTTTTCGGGAACCTTTTTGTGGCGTAGCGCCCACCAGATAAGTTTTCTTGGAATGCCTTTTCTAGATCGAGAAAGACCATGTGTAGCTTTTTGTTCTTTTCCCTCTATTTTTCACTCATCTGCCTAATTGTGTGGATAGCATCAGTTGTTGATCTCCCAGGCATAAAACCAAACTGAGTCACTCCTATTTCGATTATGTCTCTTAATTTTTTTTAAATTATTTTTTCGTATAGTTTTAGACAGTGTGACATTAGTTTTATGCCCCTGTAATTTTGACAATTTTGTGGATCCCCTTTATTTTTGAAGATAGGAACTAGATAGCTCTGCCTCCATTTTTGAGGAACCTCTTCATTTCCAAGTATTTTATTGTATAGATTTGTGAGGAAATGTATTCCATCATCTCCTAGTGCTATAAGAATATCATCTGGACCCCTAGCTTTGTTGTTTATCATATGCTCGAGGCATACAATTATTTATTGTTCTGTTATTGGTTGTACAAGGTTTTGACATGGGGAGTGTTTATCTAGATATAGTATGTGGGGATTAAAGTTGAGAAGCTCCTGAAAATATTCTTTCCATCTATTCATTATTTCTTTTTCCTTTATTATCAATTTCCCATCTTTATTCTTGATTACTTTTGGAGCTCCGTTTATATCCCTAGTATTCTTTTCTAGCTGTTTGGCTAATCTGTATATTTTATTTTGCCCATCTTTGGTATGTAGTTCTTCATACATGTCATCGTATGCCATGGATTTTGACCTAGCCACCGCCTTTGTAGCTATTCTCTTGGATTTTTTGTATCTTGCCTTGTCATCTGGGTTTTTGGATTTGTACCATATTTTATAAAGGGTTTTTTTCTCCTGTATAGTGGTTTGTACCTCTTCATTCCACCACCATAGTTCTTTGTATGATTTGTTACCTCCCCTTGTCAAGCCTAGTGTTGATTTGGCAGTGTCTATTAATCTGGATGAAAGGTCTGTCTAATTTTTTCACTGACTTGTGAGGAATCTATTGTTTCAATGTTTGCATTGATTGCAAAGGCATCTATCATTGTTTTTAATTTACCCCATTTGATGCATGGTTCCAGTTTTATCTTTTTTTGAGTGGATTTATTTGCGATGTAAAAATCCATGACTAGTAGCTTGTGTTGCGCAGCAATATCTTCTCCTTAGATGACTTTGCAGTCTATTACATCTTTTAATCTTCTGCAAGAGATTAGCATGTAATCTATCTGTGTTTTCCTTGTACCACTTTCATATGTTATTAAATGACTGTCTTTTTTCCTATAATAGGTGTTGGTTAAGGCAAGGTCGAAGGCTTGCACAAATTTCAGTACATGCCCTCCTTCATCATTCCTTTCTCCATATCCAAAACCACCATGATGCCTTTTGTAGCTATCTCTTGTTTTTCCCACATGCGCATTTAAGTCATCACCTATTATGACTAGATCATCCTTAGGGATTTCCATTACGCTTCATCAAGGATAGCTCTAAAGTCATCTTTCTCTTCTTCCTTGAACCCGTTTGAGGAGCATATACTGAAAGGATATGTAGTATTGATTGACCAATGCAGTTTTATCTTCATTAGTCTATCAGAGGTCCTGTTGACTTCTACTACTGAGGAGGTTAGATCTTGACTGAGGATGATGCCTACACCGTTCCTATTGCTAACAATTGCATTATAGTACAATTTATACCCATCTTTAATCATTAAAGTCTTCTGACCTTTCCATTTCGTCTTTTGTATGCACGCTATATCAACTTTTCTCTTGTTCAACATTGATGCCAATTCTCTCGTTTTACCATTAAGCGTCCCAATATTCAAACTTGCTAATATTGTCTTATTTGCTTTGACCTTTACTTTACTTTTCACAGGATGGAGGTCTACACCCTGCGCGTCGCTTGGAGGGAACGCCCTAGTTTTCATATTCATATTTTCATTTGTTTCCTTCATTTTGTTTATTGGACAAGTAGCCTAAGCACCCGGCTGTCCAGGCCTGTCGGTGACCGGGGTGTCATCTCTAAGCTCCAAATTCATCTTACCATTTGTCTTTACACATCAGTCATCGAAGAAAAACCTGAAAGTGTTTTTGCTCCTTACCAGGATTGAACCTGCGTCCTCTGCGTCGTTCTGTTTCCAAGCATACATCTAACCCATTAAGTCACCCCGGCGATATAGTATCAATAAAAATATTAGCTTGAAATTTAAAAAATATCAAAATTATAATGCCCGTGCTGACTGGCCTATTAAAATTAACGAAAAATCAGATTTGCAAGACCCTGCCTTATTTTTTTTATATAAAATGTTCGACCCTGCCCAAAAAATTTTATATTCAAAATGCCTGACCCGACCCGCAAGCCGGAATTTGCAGATCTCTAATTATATTATATTTTAAGTCAAAATTGTTTTTGAATAGTTTTGAAAGAAAAGATTTTCTCGTTAATAAAAAATTCAGAATATTTACAAGTCAGGCGCGTCGTTAGACTTCTTAATTTTTATGTCAACTAAACATAATGAATATTATTTACACCTATTTTAGCATTATAAGTGTACATTATTTAGTTGCCTCTCTTAAAACATTATATTAATTTTTTTTATCAATTTATTCTTTTATTCTCAAACAAATACACTTAAATATAAAACTAATATTTCTTTTTAAATGTAAATCTCAACGATAACATATTTAATATATAAAAATATTTAAAATAAAAACTAATATTTCAGCTTTCTATATGTAATTAATTCCATAATTGCAATTATATTCAAGGTTGAGTTCAGAGATAAAAAATTTAAAAAGGGTTTCAGGGTTTGTTGACTAGTGCTGTAAACGTTACTTCAAAAATTAAATGCATTACTCGTTATCTTGTGAAAAAGGAACGGTTACTCTAGTTTAACAATAAATATATATAAA